TTTTTTTTTTTTTTTTTTTTTATGAGTTTCTGTCAATCTCTTGACAGTGAACCTTTGTTAATGCATCACAACATGAAATTCCAGAACCATGTCCCAAAACAGGTCATCTAATGTTTTAGAGTTTTTTCCAGTTAACTAACAGGGGGGATCCAGTTTTGAGGTTAATAAAAAGCTGAAAGTCTTTCTTGAGACTTACACCTAGGAAAAGTTTCTGCAGTGATTTTCATAGAATTTATTAGCATTTCTCTTCTAATTCTTTAATTAAAAAGATTTGTCAACATTGTTAAGATCATCAAAATGAGAGTAAGGAGGGGACAGTAAGGAGGAAAACAATCCCACAAAAATACCACCAAGAAAGTAAATTAACTTCCACATTACCATATTAATAACTAGAGATCAAGGACTCCACAGGTTTGCAAGTCTGTGCATATGTCATCTTTGGAGCCTTTGAAACTTCATGGTTTCCCACTAGTACTGTATTTCATTATCCTTTTTTAAATCAGTATTGCTAGGAGGTTCAAGTAACTTTGCAATTGGGAAGACACCCTTCCTCTCAGGTACTTTCAGAATCTATTTCAACAAACCTGGGGTATTCCTCATATTATATACAGATTCCTAGGTACAGATGCTCTATCTACATCATATAGGCCTTTAATATGTGCAAAACCAGTGGGATTATAGATTGTCTCTCTGTTAGTTTCTCAAGATACCATCTTCAGACTGAGTCAGTTGAATAGATATTAATTTACACATCAAGAAAAGTGGCTTTGTCATATAAATTAGTCATCCCTTTTTCTACATTCAGAAAACTATTATGGTGCAAAATACTGTCCATCATGCTGAGATTGACACTGAGGATGAAATGTTCTGTAAATTTTTAGAGTAAGGACAGTGTAATTGTTCCAAGAAGCTACATCAGTATTGAGGTTTAACTAATAAGACTGTAAAATGAGGATTACTTAATAATAAGTGTCTCATTCCATAACTGAAACAGGAGCCTATTGATTCCGTTATTGTTTTGTTATTTGTGGGACACTTCACTCAAAGCACTAAATTATATTTGTATAGTTCATACAGCTCTATTATTTGTGTATTTCACGACTTACATGAAATTAAATCAAAGATGTTCCCAGAAAAATAGCAACCACCAGTTTGGCTAGTAGTAGCTAATGCTGACCAGAAAGAAAGCAGATCAAGGGGACACAGAGAACTCTTTCACCAACAAGGGTCTACTCAGCGTTCACAACACAGCTCTCTGCTGCTTCCCTTCTGTCTTTCCATTGTGTGTTAAGGCTAGAGCAGGCACTTTCTAATGGCAGGTACATGCTCCTGAAGTTAAGGCAGTATTGAAAAACACCAGGGAATTGGTCCATGCTGATATCAAAAAGCTACCTTGGGCAGGAGGTGTACAGAGCAAGCCCAGGCTTGCCTCACATTTAGCTGCTCTTGCCACTTAATTTGGAGAACTGCAGGTTTTCAAGCAATGGGTCAGAAAAGCAGAGAGACTGGTTTGGGAGTTGAATGGTTTAAATAAAATAGGTACTAGGGATCGCAGATACAGGATGTGACTCAAATTGCATAATGTCAAATGTGCACATATATACACAAGCGCTAGAAAAGCACTGACACTTACTTGGGCTGACACAGGTCTGTGTTTTAGAAATTCAAGAAAGGCTATTATAAATAAGTCATCGTTCACCTTTACGTTCTCCAGCTTGTCTTGCTCTCACCTGGAGTATTTTAGCCACATGGTTATCCTGCCAGTAGGTAAACTTCCACAGCTTCCACATATGCATATTGAGAACAGGGCTATCTATCCTCCTTGTTCAGGAAGACAGAGTTGTTCATGACTTACACATTTGGTCTTTTGTTCCATATTTTAAACCAAAATAAAAAGAAGAGGGAATATTGCTCTCCAAAGCTAATAGTGATGAGAACTGCCACACAAACATGTTCACTTAAAACTACTGCATCTCCAGCAGTGGCCAGCAGATGCTGGGGAAATGAGTAAAAGAGAAAAAAGCACAAGATCTCCTTTCTTCCTTAATGCACTCATCTTTTTTTTCTGGGTATCAGCAGTTACAGACTTAAACTTTATCAGTGCTGCAACGTAGTATCTGTTCTCATATTGATGCTTTTCATGTGGAATCATAACTGCTCGGATCCATTCCCTAAATCCCATTTTGCTAATAACAGATACAGATTTGGTTTGGATCAAATGGCCGCAATCAGGTGGTTTTATAAGCAGAAAGTTCTGACCCCATCTTTGTTAACAAAACGCAGCAACAATCTAGTAATCTGACAGATCAAGATGTATTTCATAAATCAAGAGTAAAATGTCTTCATTCCCTGCTGCATGCTAAACTCCTAGTGCCCGAACCCGAGGTGAAATCCTGGTCGTATTGAATTTAATAACAATACTCCCATGGACTTCTGTGGGTCCAGGTTTTCACTCCCTGAAGCCACAGGGGTTTTGAAACACTGGTTTTGGCATACAGAGAAAAGCAATAAGAACTTCATATATTTGGCTTTTCTTTTACAGTAATTCTAAGCACAGTTATTATATATATTTTCTTAGAATCAATTATAGTCTCTTCTACTTTCCTTAACTATTGACCATGATGCAATAGATGTATTATTTCGAGTAATAAATAAAAATCTCATACCTACTTATTGACAATGTGCTAAGTTAGATACCTTTTAGGCAATTCTCCAGCTTGAAAGACCAAGTGTTAACGGAGTGAACGCTAGACATCTCAATACTGCAGGCTGTTATCATTTTGAAAATAAAGGTATATATTAATCTGCTAATCACTAATCCCTGAAACCCCTAACTGCAATATTGGCAGATATTCTTAAAAAGTATTTCCAAGCTTGCATGACTGTTGTTGAATTTATTTAATGAATCATCTGTCACATAAATGGCTAGTTAGTAAAATGAAGTCATTAGCAGAGAAGTTAAATGAAGAAATAAATCTCAAGCTCAAGACCATTGAAATGTTGTCATCCTTTCCCATCCAAAGCCACTAGAAAAGCTTACACTTAAGAAATATGGCTGCATTTTGAAAGCCTTTCACATTATGGGAATTGTGTACGGTTTCATCCATTTTCTGTTATATCATACTGAACAATGGTTTCATTTATTACATTAAAATACATGCAGTACATTACAAAAATACAGTTGTCAAAATCTGAGCCTCATTTTCCACTTGCCTTCTACTTGAACCACTTGTTATTCCCTTTAAGATAATTTTGAGAACTATTCTTGTATGTGCTTTTGAACTATTTTATTCATTATTGATCTGTACCTTTGGGACTTACATATCTTTAGATCTGTGTTTAATTTCTGTTAATGTTTGTTCCAACTCTTCTGTGATATCTAATCATGGTGGATATCCAGTAGATAGATAGAGATATTTTTATTTTTTTTTTAATTCCCTCAATATTTTGACCAATAGCATGCTACAAAACACTTGAAATCAGTTTAACTTTTTAGGCTAAAACTGGGACTGCAATTGCTTCAATTTCCTCTTATGTTAATAAATTAGAGTATCTTGTTGAAAGAAGTAGGAAACAGATGGACACTTTGTCAAAGTGTGAAGCTCAATGATTTTGGTGATACCATATGTGTGTACATGTGTATATATATATAGATCTATCTGAATAACAACATTTTTAACCTCTAATACTCCAACTACTTTATATAGTAATCACAATTTTTTTCTTTTCCACACATAAAAAATGTTGACTTATTGGAGGAAAAAAATAACTGACAAGCTCTCTCAGTATGCTCATGCCAGAACCCAGAACTGAACCTTTTTCTCCCAAGTTTCAGTCCAAACCTCTGCAGACTGGAAAGCCAGCAAGAACATAGTGTTCCTGTTAAGCACTGATACTGAAAATATCCCCCCACCAAAATTATATAAAAACATAAATCATAAATTTACCTTTTTAGACCCGAGCAGTTTATCTCTGATTTACCTCATAATGCATCAAACATATTAATGGTGTTTTAACTGAGATAATGTGGGAGTTAGAATAACACTACCCAGCATTTAGCCCGCTAATGGCTTCTTAATTACTAAACTGCTGTAGGCTGCATGGGTAGCTGCACTGCAATGCTCATAGCTCCTTTTATCCCACTTTAGCTTTTCAGTATTAATGACTGTTTTAATCTCACCGTTATTTTGTTCAGCTCTTTGACAATTTCTTGGTTACTTATTTTCAGTATCTCAGTTACAGTGTTGATATTTATACTAATCAGTCTCTTCTAGCATCTGCAGTTTCAGTTTGGAGCTGATTCAGGAAAAGGCCACGAAATCATAGCACTGCTGTTTCTATAATATTCTGCTATATGGATGCATATAACTCTACTTCTGAGCTTTTAAAGATGTATATGTAAGGTCTCTTACTGTCATTTTGAGGAAAAAAAATATAAATCTCAAGCCACATTTGTGTTCATGATATACAAACAATTCTGTTTCCTTCCTCTGCTTCTGTGAGCATACAGTATTTCTTCCTCGTAACTGTGATAAAAGAAAGCTTCAAAGTTCGAAAGAAATAAACAGAGATATTGGTTCCTCTGATTTAACATCTTGTATCTATCCAGTTTGCTTTTGGACCACTATCATCTGATACAGATATCATCCTTAAAACATCATGGCCTGCTTATTCTCTCTCTCAATCTCTCATTTTTCCATGATATAAATCAGAAACATCTCAACCCAAGTCAAGTGAGTCACTCTTCTATAAAAGCATGTTAAGAATCACAAAATACAATCACCACCTCAAATATCTATTTCTTCTATTCAGGAAACAAGTAAGATCATAGATAACACAATATAACAAATATTAGTAGTTTAGCATGGCAGCATATTCAAATGCTTGAAACCAGTAAGAGAAGCAAAAATCAAGAGACAGTTTCCCACTGATCTTCCACAGCAGCAGTATTCAGATACAGGAACCAGCAGTAAAAGTGTCTCTGATGTCATACATCAGGAGCAGAAGTCATGAATAAAAAGGACTTGTTTACCTAGCAAGGCCCAGACTATCAACAGAGATCAAAGCTTTGCTTCCCGATAAGAAATGGATTGAAAATCACCCCAATATAAGCACTAGCTCAAGCTAAGCAGCTGTGTCCAATAGGTAAAATTGAACATGCTGTGGGTATCCAGCCCAACTTTGAAGGACTGCATATGTGCCTGTGGGTCAAAATACACCCAAGAGTTCCCGTAGCAAGCACTGATTTCCAGCTTTTGTCATATCTCACTGCTGTTATTTTATTCTGTAATTACCTCAACTATGCATCAGGCAAAGAAAACCGCTCACCTTAAGAGATGCAAACCCAATCATTTTCATTATTTGCAGTTCTTAGTCTGCTTTTTGTGCTGCTGTGGCAAAGGTTATAGTATTCTGCAGTCTCTCACTCCTAATAAAATAATCAAGGCGAGATGATAACTTACTGTTCTGATGCTTTGTGCCCACTAATGGATGCCTGCAAGGATGGAAGGAAGGTTCTCTGCTATTGATTTCAAGATCAAACCTATTGCAGGTGAAATTCAGATCTTGTTCACTATCATTGCAAAATTTTTTGGGGAGCGTGTTTCCATCAAGTCATTGAATTCAAGTCTGACCTTTTGTGTACATCCTGCGAGTGTGAAACTGAGACCATACCAGTAACAGCTCCCAACTGAAAGCAGCTGTAGGGCAACTGGTTTAACGCTTAGTCATTACCTTACTGTAATTATAGCGATGGCATGTAATAAAGTCAACCCAAAGCAACTATACCAACGCTAATGTTCTCTAAACAAAGAACTTTTGATAAGAGGAAGTCACACCAGAATAAGCCAAATCAGGTTCCTGGAGGACCAGAGTGCATAGTGGAGACTTAAGATGTGCAAGTTTGAGGATCAAGTGCATGTGGTTAAAAAGATACTTAGAATTTCTGACCTATTTTGCATACAAAATAGGCTGTCTACATGACTGGGAGAGGCTTGTTTAGATGACTTCATAAATTTAAACTAAGGGGGTACGAATTCGTTATCACAAAGCCTGAACAGAACCTTCACTGCCAATTCAGCAGATTTTTTAAACAGGAATGAACTAAATACCAAAGCAAGAAGAGCTCATCTGAGTCTGTGTCAGCAGCAGAATTGGATGATAGCAGCAAACTATTCTTATGGGGAAAGGAATTGGCTTTGTTTTCTGCAGAGTTCTCATCTTTAAGATAATGTAGGCCTTGCTATTTTAGAAGTCTTGGAAAAGAGGACCAAGATATTTTTCCCTATTCTATTAAAACAAATTCACATTAGTAGCATTAAAAAATATGTTACACTTATGTTAACCTTGCTGATTTAGGCTAAAGTAATTAACTTTTTTTTCTAATGCCTTGACATGGTTAAAGTCAGTCTAACAAAGAATTGCATGCTCTGTGGCAGCTGCATCTTTCCTTGAGCATTTTTGAAAACGTTATTTTAATAACAGGTGTAGAAATTTGCATCCTGTCCAGAAGGCTTGGAAACAGTGAACAAGAATATGGTTCCCACAGGGCTTCCTAGATGGGAATTTTTCAGTATCTGTACTCTGCTAATTCTTTAATATCTGTATTTACAATACATTTTTACTTCTCTCAGATACCACTACAGGAAGATGCAAGAAACTTCAGAGTGATCCTACAGCACATTTACTTCATTCAACGGAATCCAATAATCCTTTAGTGCTCCCTAATAGAAATCAATCTATTTTGCTGACACCTGACTTCTATGAACAATATAACATGTTATTGTGGCTGTCATTTAACCATTCTCCTACTTCTAATGCTGCATGTCAAACGCTAAAATATGCAGGGCTTCTTACAGAGTTGGCATAACCTTCATGCAGACTTCCCATTTAATTGAATGCAAAACTTGCACCCAGCTCTGTGTGTGCTCTCCCCTCTTCTATCAGCCCAGCAGCAGCTTGCTGAATGTAAAATTCTCCCCACAGTTGTTTCACTTAAAATTTGTATTCATGTAGAACATTTGTTCTGTTGTAAATGTTGAAACCCCAGTTCCGGGACATGAAGATCATTTTGGGTCTATTATGTACTTCCTGAATGCTTCCCTCACCATCCCTTCTAAGTCAATTTAGCGCCCATTAAGGGTGGCAGATTGACCGAGACTTATGGTTGCTCTTCATTCCCCAGGAGCTCCAGAAGAGGTAACTGCATTGCAAACTCCTACCTACAGGTGCCAAACCGTGTCCGTCACGAGCTGGTGGAAACTAAAGAAGTCACTAGAGGTGGTTTATGTGGCGTGAACCCAGGATCATTAGTCTTCCTGCAGCTACGGCTACAATGCGTCAGCTGTACTACAGACTAGAGTAAAACAACCCATTTTTAGCACCCAGGCCATACAAACATAACTCTTTTTGTCATTATGGACCAAGACAGGCAACCCAGGAGTGAAAGGCTTTGTATTCTGTTATGAACTCTGAATTACCCTGGTCCCTGGGAGCAACCTTTGGCTTAGTTTTCCTGAATCACACAGCTTGGGATAAATGGTCAGCTGGGTCATTTATTGTAACGCAAGTCAGATTTAACTAGGCTGTAGATGCTTAAAATGTTAGCAGGCACTGCTATGCTCAGGGGATTCGTGGTTTATCCATGAGGTATTGCTTTATAAGCACACAAAAGGGGTTGCAAACAGATACTGCTGCAGTGAAAAATCTACATACAGCAAATCGCTGTCACAGCTTGTACTGCTGAGAGATCTTTTGCAAATCATAGTGAATAAAATAAGATTTTCTTAATGTAGGCTACTTCATCATCTGTTTTACACCAAAGCCTTCATGTTCTACCTCACATAGTTTATCCTCTCTTGCTGACAAAGAGAAATAAAGGGATGAGACAGTCATGTAGAGATGCTGCAACAGAACCAGATGGTCTGACTCTCCCAGGTCTTGGCATTGTGTCTCTTTCTATAACTTTGGTATTTTTGTCTTCCCCCACCTCTTTGGTCCCATCTGCACCCTCCCCCTCTGTCTCTTTGTCTGTCACGGAATTTTTTAGTTTGTCTTCCCCAGGAAGAGATGCTTATATTGTCATGTTCCTTACAGTGAACTAAATGCACTGGACAACAAAGCCGTGTTTGAAAAAGGGATGGGACTCCTCTGAATGTCATGACAATATGCTTAAGCAAATCATGACTGCTTCCTGTGAAGGGAAAGGCTCTGTGCTAGGCTTTCTTGTGAGTCTCCATGGGAGGGGGCCATGCAGAGGGACCCCTGGGGCTGTTCACAGGCACTCAAGGTGCATGGAAATACCCCTAAAGGAGTGCATGTGATGTTGCTGCTGTGATGAGGACTCAGCTACAAACTGTAGGAAACCAGACCTCAACAGGCCTTGTTGATCATCTCCCACTCACTTTGAAAATTTTTTTACACAGCTTTTACCCTCCACATTTTCCTTACTGTGCATTGCTGGCGATCCTTACATGTCTTCCCATCCATCTCCCAGCCAGGCTAGATCTCATCTCTCATGTAGCTGTTGATCCCCTCCTGCAAACCCCTTCTCACACACCTGTCAAGAACAAGAGGAGGTGAAAAAAATGAACGTGGGCAGGGCAAATGGAATTACTTTCTCTTTGCTCTCACCCAGCATGTATTACAAAAAACCCCCCACATAAAACTATTATTGCATTGCTTTCACTGCCAGCCAGCACCTGACTTCAGTGAGCAGGCACCTCTGCATCAGTTGATGATCTGATACTCAGACCAATGGCCATAAAAAAACTCCCAACTTTATTCTTCGCTTCAGTTGAAAAGAATGTTTTAAAAGTAAAGTAGGCTGGTTTTAGCTGCATAACAAACAGTTTATATCAGAAAATCACTAGATTAATTTCCATCATTCAAAGGTCATTGCACTTAACTATAATTTATAAAGGAGTTTGTTTATATATTCAAATATATACTCTATATTTAAATTTATTTTTTATTAAATTCTGCCTTTGTATGAATATTATTGTGTATCAAGGATAGGCTCTCTTTGAACTCTCTAGCCCTTACACTCAGATTGAAATTAGTGTTTTGCTTTTAATTCTCCTTCTGCTTTTACTGCTTTCAGGGAACAATAGGGAAGCCCTCTTGTAATTAATTTACCACCTGAAGACACTAAATAAAAGTTGCAGGACCTCATTTATTAAATGTCTCCATAAGACTGAAAACATTAGGCAGCCAGTCGAGGTTGTGTTTTTATTAAATATTTTAATCAGTGAAATTAGAGCATTTATCCAAACAAACATAAGGGAATCCAACATAAACCAGCTTACTTACTGGTAACTGCTTTAAGTGGGGTATGGAATGTTGACCTCCTATGCTTGTTCAAAGCATTACACTATATTAATTTCACTTTCAATACCCATTATTTTACCAAGCTTTTTGGTAAATTATCTGTTGTGTGTTATTTCCTTTATATTATACCTTTTACTAAAGCATTTTGGCACACTTAGAGTAAAGCTAGGGAAAGAAAATAAACTTGCCCAAAGGGAAGTATCCCATGTTCTGGATGCTCCAGTTTGTTTCAGGCTCTGCTGCTGACCCAAGACCATTTCCCACAGTAACCTCCACACTGAGCTTATGAGGTCAGATGCTGTACCAGGTGCATTTTCTGTCTCTGGGCAAACCAGTTTCTTATCGTGAAGAGCAGAGACCATATATCAAGCAGAAATTACATCAGCTGGAAGTTCTCTATTACACAAAATTTGAGGTTTATCCTTCTTAATCTCAGCACAGGATTTTTACATTTAGAACTGTCTACTGATGTCACTGTTGTGGTTTTTAAGTGCACAAGATCACTCTTGTCTCTTACCTCATCAGCTCCTGCTTGATGATGATGATGAGTGGCCTGTTCACATGAGGACTTGGGGTAAAGGCTCTTTGGCTGCAAGAAAATCAGAAGATATGTACTGAACAGAGCTCATTGTCATGGAGAATTTTTGGTCTACATGATTTTTCACACTTTAAAATTTGGTTCCCTTTTAATTCCTAACATACAATATTTTTAGATGTCCCACAAAACAGACGATCTGTACAACATTCCTTTTGGAAACACATTAACACACAGTTTCTAAAATGAATTTGTTCCCTCAAACCTAAGCAGCTGCTGACTGAAAAATAATTCATAGTCAGTTTGAGTATAGCCTTCACCTACAGAGAAACAAGCATAACAAAAAGGCTGAGATGATAAAAACTATGTTTACTTAAAAGGCTTTATTCTTTAAAATATGATTGACATAACCTAACAGGATACTGTAGACTATTATCATGGTTCAATTGTCAAATAAATTGCGTTGATGTAAATTAAATGCTGGTTTTACTTTTTTTTCCTTAGAAGAAATTTTCACCCCTCTTCAAATTTTCCCATGAGTTCATCCCATGAAAAAAAGATATTTTTCAAAGGCATGGTTGTTAATGTTTATGAAACATCAATGTTCCTGGTGAAACACTTCGAGTTTTTTCCAACATCTCTGTTTTCAAGCTGAACACAAGAAATATTGCTGAGCTCCAAGTTCTATCATCTCAGATGCACCTCTCTGACAGCGTGGAGAATGGCTCCATAAGAAACAAGTGACTTCCCAGCTCACTGGATATAAAGCAAATACCAAAGATCAGGTGGACAATAATGTGGCCATCAGTCCCAAGGTATTTTTTTAATAGCATTGGCAGTTAAGCATAAGTACATATGAAAATTTCTGCCAGGCTAAATATAACTTAAGATAAATGAGAGTAAACACTTATCCCTTTGAATGTCAGTGTAATGCAACTAGATTATTCTGCAGCTCTCATGGCAATGAACAACATGCCCAGAAAACCCAGCCTGGATCAGATTTGTTTGCTACATGTCCAGTGACCTAGAACAAGTGTTATGTTTGCTTTCACAAAAGCACTCATCCGTGGGAACACTGGTACAGGAGTGAACGCTCCAGGTGTCATGATATTGATTTGACTGAGTCTCTTAAAGCAAAGTTAGACCTCGCTCATGCTCTCGTGGTAGATGAATAAATGCAGTAAGCAAGTGAAAGAAAACCCACAAGGATGGGGACTCAAAACACTGAAGTTCAGTAACAGGGGAGGACAGCCAGACTCTGCCACTAATTTAGTTATTAATGGGTCATCATTTTGCAGACGTATTGAACATGCACCTGCATATAGCTAAGGGACATGTGATAGAGAAGGTTTTATACCACATAAATATACAAACCCAGTGTTTAAAACAACCTCTTTGAGACAGAGAAGAACATACAGAAGAAAATCACTAATGTGACATCTCTTCCTCGTTGGCTTGGCTATCTTTAATGGCTTGGCCTTCTATAAAATTTTTTTTTCAACTTTATCTTTCTGGCTGATAAATTAGGTGGCTAGGCTGAAAGCCAGCACTTGACTTCTGCACTATCGTACTGGGTCTGGCTGAGCTGGAATTGTTTTTCCCCTATAGCAGCCCTCACGGTGCTGTGTTTTACGCTGGGAGCTGGCAGGGTGTTGATAGCACCCTGGTGTTGTGGCTACTGCTGAGTGGCGCTTACCCAGCACCAAGGCTCTTTCCAACATTTCCCCCCTCAGTGGGACGGGGTGGGCAAGATCTTGGGAGGGGACACAGCCAGGACAGCTGACCCCAACTGACCAAAGGGATATCCCAGACCATGTGACGTCTGCTCAGGATAAAGCTGGGAGAAAAGGAGGAAGGGGCTGGGGTCACCCTTGGTCCTCCGAGGCAACCACTCTGCGTATGGGAGCCCTGATCCTGAGAAGTCCCGACAGCCCCTCTTCATGGGAAGGAGAGAATAAATCTGTTTTCTGTTTTTGCTTCTGCGTGCAGACCTTTGTTTCGCTTTGCTTATATTAAAACTGCTTTTGTTTTACCCACAAGGGTTGGTCTATCTTATTTTCTTTCCCCTCTTTGCTCTGTTGAGAAAACAAGGGGAAAGGGGGGGAAGTGATAGAGCAACTTGGTGGGTATCTGGCATTTAGCCAAGGTCAAACCACCACAACTATAAAAACTGATATTACATGTGCATCACCACATAAACATGTATACACATAAGCACATTCATATATGTTTGCGCCATTAAAAAAAACAACCAAACAAAAAACCTTTAAAATTCTAACACTGGCTATAGTAATATTGTAATTAAAATTGTTGAAAGAAAATGTCAGATATAAAACAATGGTATTTAAGCAAACTCACATAAGCTAACAAATTGATAATACAAACCCATATTTTGTTTGCATCAAAGCTGTGGCAATATGGCATCTACAATGGAAAGAAAAAAAAAATCCCAACATTTAATAGAAGACCTGGTAGTAATAGTAGGTGACCATCTTAGTTTTATTAATACAATAGTTGTTAATATCCTCGATACAGTCTTACAAAAACCACATCTCAGCCAGAAAGGACAATGGGATTGTAAAGATGTTTATAACTAGTCAGATTTATCAACATGCTCTTATTACGGTTATTATTTATTTTATCATTACAGTTCTACCTAATATATATAACTTAACCTGTCCTTCTATGTTTGGGTTCATTTATTTATGGCCACCATTTGTTGTGCCGGATTTGACTTTAAAACCTAATCCTAAAACAACGGTGATTGTAATTATTTTCATCCAAATCCAGTAGGATTGCTTGGGGGCTTAAACATATACTGGATAAGTGCTCAAAACGTTATGCTCTTCAGAGTAAATACCAATTGGTTTTGCTCGTTTATATGAAGCCCTCACATATATTGCATCTCTCAGAAGGAAGAAAAAAAAAAAAAAAAAAAAAAACACCTTTTCACTTTTTAAAGTGAACAGTAATTAAATTAAGAAATACTTAATTAAAATACTGTCTCCCATATGTTTTTGAAAACTAAACAAGCAAACATTATATCCATTTTTACTACCAGTAATAATAAATTTGTAAACTATTTTAGTAATAAATGAATGTTAATTCAGCTTTCCCAAATATGACCAAAGAATAGAAATTATCTTCATGAAAATAGAACCATCACAACCCATTCAGTAATACCAGCAATTTCATACTGATATGAATTTGTTTAAAAGGTGACCTAGACAATGAAGCAAGCATAATTACATTGGAAACAGCTAATTCAATAAAGTACTGATGTCAAAAGTAATAATTAGAGGAAATTTTAGTGCAACACTCATCTGCAGAAAGGATCATTTCGGAATAATGATATGGTTATGTAAAGAAATTTAAAATATAAAATGTCTGACAATGGTTGATTAAAAAATAGTACAAAAACTGGTTTTATTTTAATAAATTATTAAAAAAGTAAAAAAAACCCCAAGATTGCTATCATTAATATGACACTAGTGGTTTCAATGGAACAAAGAAAGCCTATTGAATTTGATAAAAGTATATGCTTTCTGGCTTGAAATGGTTAAGTATAATTAAGTTTCACCCAACTTGAGCATTAAAGAGAGTGCTCATGTTAAATTCGTATTATGTTTTCCAGAAGACAGCTGTCACTGCATAGCATTCACTGAAGAGTATCAATCATTCTCACTATGCCCGAGAAGGAGAACTCAGCTAGTGCATACAGCTACATTTCACCTGCTCACAATACAGAGGGTAAGCCTACCAACACATCTTTCATTTTTTTCTTTAGAAAATCAAGACTAGTTTAATATTAATTCAGTATCTTGATTCTCTGGTCCAGTACACTTATTGAGCCGAGGTCAGTATGGATAAAATATCCAGTAGCGCTCTACAGCAAAGGTCGTGCAACTCTGCCGACTCTTTAACCATAAAGGTGAAGTTCACCTGTCCAGCACACAGTGTCATTTTTAATCAACTTTCAACTGATCCAAGACAGGGTAACAAGCTCCTTCTTGGCCTTCAGAAATCTCATGCCATTCCAGACCAAATATAATGTGGCCTAAACTTTTTTTTTTTTTTTTAAATGGTGAGGTACTTTGAATTAAAAACAAAATTAAAAATATCAAAATAAATTGCTGTCTTGCATAAACTGTTCTCCCAGAGGGAAAACTGAGAGAGCATGAACAAACAAATCAGACTTTTGTACCATTGCTTATTGAACGATAATCTCACTCCTCAAGATTATCCAATTTTGAAACACTACCAACAGTTCTCCCCGAAAAAGTAAGCAACAGTCTCATATGGGAGCTCCTAAACATGTACACACATGTACAAGAAATATTCCTCTAACGCTGCCTGTTTCTTCCAGGTGAGGTCCATTCCAAGCACTTTGCATTTATCGCAGAAGCATTTGGCTTTCCCAACTGTAAGCACTTCCCAGAGTCATCTCTTTTGTCTGCTCCTCAGGCTGGAGGGAAGAATCCTGTGGGCAGATCCAGCCTCCTGGCTGTAACCTGGACCAGGAGGCTTTCATGCAGTTCTGAGAGGCGGTCAGACATTAGAGCAGTAACACCACAAGGTGTTATGAGGAGGAGCCTGTATCCTAACATAATAAGTTTTCTCCTTCGGTCTTTGCCCTTAAGCCACAAGCCACTCTGCTAACCTGTGAGCTTGGCCCTCCTCTAGGTCTGTAATAAGTGTCATCCCCAAACCCATTCTAAGCAAGTTTTCTTTCTGGCTTACTAAACCAGCTCCTTGACAGTGCTTATTCTCAGATGACATTTTTGTATCTTCTAGTCAACAACTTGCGCAGGTTTCTCAGCAGATTCCTGCTCTCCACACCTTATTGCCTGCTCCATTTCTAGTCGCCTTCCGCCTCTATAACAGGAAAGTAGGAAGAAGGGGTGAAAAAGCAGCAAGTGGTGAGGAAACTATTTAAAAGTTAAGTAGCTAAACTATCTGTCAAAAAAGATGTTACATATGTGACCTGTTCTAAGTTGAACTTTTCATAAACGTATAGATCCAGAAGAAAACAACGCACTAGTTTAATCAAGGATTAATATAAATTAGGGAAGGTAGATAAAGACTGGCATAAACTATATGGAGCACACACACAAGCAAGTATCATTTCCCTGTTTAAAAAACAGGGAAACTGAACTTGATTTTGCCTTGTGCATCATAGGTAATAACACCCTCTCGGGTCTGACAGCGGGAATCACTAGCAATCCAGTAAGAGGAAGAAATACTGCAGCTTGATTTTTCAGTTCCCACACTGAGCTGAAACACAAGCAGTTAGAAAAATCTCTGATTGACTTGTCAGCTGAGCCAATTTGATCTGGAAGTCACAGAGAAAGAAATGTATGGAAGCCTGCAATGTCATTTTTCCAGAGTCACTTTTTCTGACTACAAGCACACTTTAATTTGTCAGTCACAGTCTCTCGGTCCCACATAGATATTGTTTCCCTGGAGACGAATCTTTTAAATAGCAGTTCAAAACACCAACCAGATTGGAAGAGAAACTCAATTAAATAAAAAAAACATCTTGTTGCATTGGGGGTCTGTCCTAGTAAAAGATTCTGGAACATGTATTTCTAGTTTCCCTAGATGCATGTCTAGGCTTTTTTATTTATTTGTTATTTCTTAGCCACTTACTGCTTAGGTAAGCAGTAAGGTAAGGATAAGATAGGTAAGGATAAGCAAATTAAGATTTTAGCTGATAATTTGATTATATTGATGTTTGCTATTTTTTATTATTAGATGATGACTTGGATTAGTACTGCTTTTCAACCTTTATGTAATTTCATAGAATCATAGAATGGTTTGGGTTGGAAGAGACCTTAAAGACCATGTAGTTCCCACCCCCCCTGCCACGGGCAGGGACACTTCCACTAGCCCAGGTTGCTCACAGCCCCGTCCAACCTGGCCTGGAACACTGCCAGGGAGGGGGCAGCCACAGCTGCTCTGGGCAACCTGTGCCAGTGTCTCACCACCCTCACAGGGAAGAATCTCTTCCTTAGATCTAATCTAAATCTACCCTCTGTCAGTTTAAAAATTTTACCCCTCATCACCCTCCCTGATGCAGAGTCCCTCCCCACCTTTCCTGTAGCCCCTTTCAGCACTGGGAGGCCGCTATAAGGTCTTCCCGGAGCCTTCTCTTCTCCAGGCTGAACACCCCCAACTCTCTCAGCCTGTCCTCACAGGGGAGTTGCTCCAGTCCCCTGAGCATCTGTGTGGCCTCCTCGGGACCCACTCAAGCAGGTCCATGTTCCTCTCATGTTGGTGCCCCCAGAGCTGGACACAGCACTGCAGGGGGGGTCTCACAAGAGCAGAGTAGAGGGGGAGAATCCCCCCCCTTGCCCTGCTGGCCACACTTCTCTTTGTGCAGCCCAGCACACAGTTGGCTTTCTGGGCTGTGAGTGCACATTGCTGGCTCACAGGAAGTTTCCCATTCGCTAATATCCCCAAGTCCTTCTCCTTGGGGCTGCTCTCAATCCACTCCTCTCCCAGCCTGTATTTGTGCTTGGGGCTGCCCCAACCCATATGCAGTACCCTGCATTTGGACTTGTTGAACTTTGTGAGGTTTTCCTGGGTCCACCTCCCCAGCCTGTCCAGGTCCCTCTGGATGGCACATCCCTTCCATCCAGTGTGAGGGCAGCACCACACAGCTTGGGGTCATCAGTGAACTTGCTGACAGTGCACTCGATCCCACTATCCACGTCACCAAGAAAGATGATAAATAGTTCTGGTCCCAACACCAAACCCTGAGGAACAGCACTTGTCACTGCTCTCTTCTTGGACATCAAATCATTGACCACAATAGTCATTGAGTGCGGCCATCCTGACAATACTGTATACATCGAGTGGTCCGTCCATCAGATCCACACCTCTCCAATTTATAGACAAGGATGTCGTGCAGGACGGTGTCAAAAAGCTTTGCACAAGTCCAAGTAGATGACATGAGTTGCTCTTCCCTTATACACCATTGTTATAACCTGTCATAAAGGCCCACAGATTTGTCAGGCACAATTTTCCCTTAGTGAATCCATGTTGGCTGTCACCAACCACTTCCTTATCTTCCACGTGCCCTAGCACAGTTTCCAAGAGGATCTGCTCTGTGATCTTGCCAGGCACAGAAGTGAGACTGACTGGCCTGTAGCTCTCCAGGTCTTTTTTTCCTTTTTAAAAATTGAGGTTATGTTTCCCCTTTTCCAGTTAGCAGGAACTTAACTGAACTGCCACGAATTCTCAAATATGATGGATAGTGGCTGAATCAATTCCTCTACCAGTTCACTCGGGACCCATGGATGCATCTCATTAGGTCATATGGACTTGTGCACCTTCAGGTTCCTTAGATTGTCTCGTACCTTATCTTCTCCTACAATGGGAGGTTCTTCATTATCCCAGTTTCTGTCTTTACCTTCTGCTTC